GTTGACCTCATGACATAACTATGTGAGGGACCCTGACCTCAATAATGTAATTCTGCATGATGACACAGAACTATGTGAGGGACCCTGACCTCAATAATGTAATTCTGCACGATGACACAGAACTATGTGAGGGACCCTGACCTCAATAATTAATTCTGCACGATGACACAGAACTATGTGAGGGACCCTGACCTCAATAATGTAATTCTGCACGATGACACAGAACTATGTGAGGGACCCTGACCTCAATAATGTAATTCTGCATGATGACACAGAACTATGTGAGGGACCCTGACCTCAATAATGTAATTCTGCACGATGACACAGAACTATGTGAGGGACCCTGACCTCAATAATGTAATTCTGCATGATGACACAGAACTATGTGAGGGACCGTAACCTGGCATCAATGACATGGGGTTTATACTGACATTTATAAGATTTAAGTTTTATCTCCCTTCATCAAGGTATTTTATATACTATGCTACAGAGAACAAAAACACTGTAATTATTTACTGCCTGGCCCATTAAGATATTGGTTTATATTTATGTATAAGTACTGTATGCAAATTTATGTAAATAATATGTTTTGAGTACTAATTTATATATTCCAACACAATCAGTTTTATCTAAACAATAAAGGTAGAATTAAGCAAACAAGTAAAATGTGCAAAGCTATATAGAAAACTAAACCAAGTTTGAATAACTATATAGTACAGTCAGTTGTCCCAGAAATATTGTCTACGTAATTCAGGTTTTCCTAAATGCAATTTAAAGTGCATTGAAAACTGAACAGCATGTACTATGAGGGTCATTCTGTGAGCTATTCACTTTTCCATATACTTTTTCAACTGCATTTACAAAAAATACCACTGAATATTCAATTTATAAGACAGTCGACTGTATACGTGAAACAATTAAAGGAATTCAGTTTAGAACCAACACAGACACGCAACTATTTACTTACAAGAAGATGTCATGCTACATGACAGAGCTGCCTGGCTGCCCCAGGACACATGTTGTGTGTCCAGTGTGTGTGTTGTGTAGAGCTGCCTGGCTGCCCCAGGACACATGTTGTGTGTCCAGTGTGTGTGTGTTGTGTAGAGCTGCCTGGCTGCCCCAGGACACATGTTGTGTGTCCAGTGTGTGTGTTGTGTAGAGCTGCCTGGCTGCCCCAGGACACATGTTGTGTGTCCAGTGTGTGTGTTGTGTAGAGCTGCCTGGCTGCCCCAGGACACATGTTGTGTGTCCAGTGTGTGTGTTGTGTTGTTTATGTTAGAGTGTGTATAACATGTCAACAATTGTGTTAATATCTGTGATTAAAGACTCTTCAACCTCCTCCTCCTACTGCTACCAGCAGATGTAAGACACATTAAAGACTCTTCAACCTTAATATGGTAATGGTACACAATACCAATAAGTTGATAACTAAGACATTTGTGCAACAGTTAGGTATCTTGGTATCTTTATTTTTAAATATTTCACCTACACAGTATTCAACTATAGAAGCCTACCATACCACGGACGGGTCTAGAACTCGTGGTTAGTGAGCCATAAAACTCCAGAAAGGTGCATTTGCCAGCCTGTCTGTCATTAGTCAGTCTGGAGTTTTACGACCCACTAACCTCGAGTTCAAGACCCGTCCGTGGTATGGTTTGTTTCCAATCGTGTCATTACGATTTCATGTAGCTGTGTAGGTGAAACATAAGAACATTTCAGAATAAAGATACCTAACTGCTGACCCTGTGTCTTACTTAGTATTGTTCAGCTTGGTGCTGCTCCTACTACCAGTATATACAAGACATCTTCTTTCAACACACCGACAACATCCCACCAAGGCGGGGCGGCCCGAAAGGAAAAACAAAAGTTTCTCCTTTTAAATTTAGTAATATATATAAGAGAAAAGGTTAGTAGCCCTTTGCATATATGAGACATATTACTGGGCTAAAGATGTTAAGTTTTGAGGAGGTAACCAGACCACTGCCCTAACCACTTACTGAAGTAAGAAAGATGGGAGGAAGTGTAAACAGGGGAGCCGTGGGTACGATAAGAGAACATCGTGTTAATATCCATGCTATAAGACTCTTCAACCTGCTCCTACCACCAGATATAAATGTTGTTTAACACAGAGAGTAAATATCAAGAGGGAATAACCACCGTCTGCAACAAATACCAGATCACCCGGATTGTGAATGCAATGATGGCCTGTGGATTACAAGCAGCAACAGCCTGGCTGATAAAGATGTTAACAGAACTAGCCTCAGGCTGCACTGTGAAGGTACAAAAACCCTCAAACCGCTCACAGGTATATGGTGTGTGTTTTAACAATTTCCACCAGTTAAACTGATACAAATATTAACAAAAACACAGCAAGGAGAGACTGAGATTATATTCCAGTAAACATTGGTCTTAGACAGCAATGTGTGACATTACTGAGTTTAACATATTTATAGTTGGGGTTGTAAAAGAAGTGAATGCTAGGGTGTTGGATAGAGGTGTGGGAGATGTTCATGAGGTGGTTTGGACATTTAGAGAGGATGTAGCAAAACAGGATGACTTGGAGAGCATATAAATCTGTAGTGCAGGGAAGGCAGGGTAGGGGTTGTCCTAGGAAAGGTTGGAGAGAGGGGGTAAAGGAGGTTTTTGTGTGTAAGGGGTTTAAACATCCAACAGGTTTGTGTGAGCATCTTAGATAGGAGTGACTCGAGGTGCTGTTTGAGTGTGAGCAAGGTAACATTTATGAAGGGATTCAGGGAAACCAGTTAGCCGGATTCGAGTCCTGGAAGTGGGAAGCACAATGCCTGCACTCTGAAGGATGGGTGTTAATATGTAGCAGTTTTTGAACTATAGTACAGTGGAACCTCAAATATCGAACTGCTCCCAGCTCAACCAATTATGTAAGTATATTTTTGTAAGTGCTTTTATAAGTGTATTTTTGAGGGTCTGAAATGAACTAATCTAATTTACATTATTCTTGATGGGAATAAATTCATTCGGTAATGGCACTCGAACAGCCGTCTGGAACTAAGAAAGTTCGATATTTGAGGTTCCACTGTATAGGCATAGGTTGGAGGGAGGGGTAAAGGAGGTTTTCAGTGTGAGGGGCTTGGACTTACAGCAAGCATGTGTGAGCATCTTAGTAGGAGCAAATGGAGACTAATGGTTTTTAGGACTTGACGTGCTGTTGGAGTGTGAGCAAGGAAACATTTATGAAGGGGTTCAGGGAAACCGGCAGGCCGGACTTGAGTCCTGGAGATGGGAAGTACAGTGCCTGCACTCTGAAGGAGGGGTGTTAATGTTGCAGTTTTATAACTGTAGTGTAAGCATGCCTCTGACAAGACAGTGATGGAGTGAATGATGAAAGTTTTTCTTTTTCGGGCCGCCCTGCCTTGGTGGGAAACGGCAGATGTGTTAATAAAACATAAAATAATAAAAGTATAGGCATGCATTTGACAAGATAATGATGGAGTGAGTGATGATGTGTGTTTCTTCTTTTTTGGGTCACCTACCTCAGGTGTAGATGGTCAGAGTTAAATAAATCTTTATATTAACACACTGACTGTTTCCCACCATGGCAGGGTGACCCAAAAAAGAAGAAACACTTTCACCATCATTCACTCTATCACTGTCTTGCCAGAGGTGCACTGATACTTCAGTTGAAAAAACTGCAACGTATCTCCAGCCATCCTTCAGAGTGCAGGCATTGTACTTCCCACCTCTAGGGCTCAAGTCTGGCTAATGGGGTCTCTGAATCCTTTCATGTTACTTGGCTCACACTCCAACAGCATGTCAAGTCATAAAAACCACTTGTTTCCACTTGCTCCTATCTAACACGCTCACACAAGCTGCAGTCATCGGTGAGCAGTCGGATAATTTGATATTATCCATATCTGGAACTTCTACACATTCAGATAATCTGGTATGTGTCAACTTGAGACTTTGATTATGTCTGATCATGAGGAAGATGACAGTCTCACAGACAGTCAGGTGGTTGAGTCCCACAGACATGTCAGGTGGCTGAGTCCCACAGATATGTCAGGTGGCTGAGTCCCACAGACATGTCAGGTGGCTGAGTCCCACAGTGAGGTGGCTGCGTCCCACAGACATGTCAGGTGGCTGAGTCCCACAGTCAGGTGACTGACAGTCCCACAGACATGTAAGGTGGCTGACAGTCCCACAGATATATAAGGTGGCTGACAGTCCTACAGACAGGTCAGGCAGTTGACAGTAACCCAGCTAGAAGGTTGTGTCTGACTTGACCTGGCTTAATCAATGTCACTATCACAAGACCTGGCTTCTCACATAACCCAGCTAGAAGGTTGTGTGTGTGACCTGACCTGGCCTAATCAATCCCACTATCACAACAAGACCTGGCTTCTCACATAACCCATAATATTTCCATTATAAACCATTAATATTTGCACCATCAAAGATAGTATAGATTCCCTTTTGTGTCTGATAGGTTTAGTTTTCAAATCTACCTGACTATATAAATCGAAAAAAGACAGTGTTCATTATTTTCCTCAAATATATGACATTTACAAAAATGTTCATCCTTAAGGAAATGTTATTGTTTAAAATGCACCCTAAAGATGCAGGAATACTGGAGAACTTGTTGTGTACGTAGTGAAGTTACGTTCTTCACCTCGTCTCATGCTGATACCCAACATGGGTTATGTAGTGAGTATATGCATGTAGTTATGTATGAATAGTCTTGGGTATGTGGTGAGTGTACCCAATGTGAGTTATATGGTGAGTGTACCCAATGTGAGTTATATGGTGAGTGTACCCAATGTGAGTTATATGGTGAGTGTACCCAATGTGAGTTATATGGTGAGTGTACCCAATGTGAGTTATGTGGCGAGTGTAGATTTAACCCATGACTACCCTAACCCACCCTCCCTCATGCTGACACCGATCATGCTGGTGCTCTGGTGTGTCTAGGGTCGTGCAGTACCAGCGTCATCATCGTGCCTCCACCAATATTACGACAACCCAACCTTGACTAGTGTTGATGGTGGCGAGAACGGCACCGGCGACGGCGAGCCAGAGCCGCCCTCACTGGCTCCTCCCCAGCCTCCCCCCGCAGCTGCCGATGCCCCGCGCTCCAGCGTGCCCCCTCGGCCGCCCCGGCGCCTTGTGGATGCCCCCGAAGGGGAGCCCAGGGGTGAGTGAGGGGCAGAGAGAGTTGAGTGGGGAGAGTAGTGGCCACCGCTGTGATGCGATGGCATGGTATGAGATGACTGGGGGTGAGATAACGTAGAGAATGGGGAATGGGGGTTAGACTGAGTGGCGGCAACGGCAGGGGGGGAGCGCGGCGTGTTGACAAAATCGACCGGCAGGGTGTTGAGGACAGAGGCCGGGGATATGTACGAGCCGGGAGCGTTGGCAGCCCGGTTGTGGTCGTCTCGCAACAGCTGACTCAGCACCTCTGGGGTCTGGGCGACGATGTAGGTGGTCGGACCACTGCTACTGACCTGCGAGGGGGCGTAGAGGGGCGGTGACCCTAGACCGGAGGGTGGTGGAGGTGTTGAAGTGTGTCCTCGGCCTCCAGCCATCATCGGCACTCGAGCTGGCTTAGGCGGCGGCTCATCTGAACCTGTAAAATCATCACAGTTAGAACATCCTGCAGTACTTAGGTCAAAAGTACAAAGAAGGTGACAAGGAGGAATTGAAAACCTAAACAGTGGTCAAGAGTACGGTGGTCAAGAGTACGGTGGTCAAGAGTATACGGTGGTCAAGAGTACGGTGGTCAAGAGTACGGTGGTCAACTACCAAATAGTGTGATCACAAATCGGTAATTTTACAATTTTCACACAAAGTTTAAAAAGTCGCAACTTTAAAACCAGGGACCTTAACCCGTAAACGGTACAAATGTATATGTAAGTTTTTTCAACATTTGAAAGTATGTAAAAAAAGTAGATCTTTTTGTTTTTACATTTGAAAATGTGTAAAAAAGACCGTTTACGGGTTAATAAACAATGTAGACACCGCTGCCACTAAAAAACATTTCTTCTGTTTATTAGCTACATCTCCGGGCCTCTCCTATATTATGTTTGCTTTCCATTTTTTAATTTTCACTCACACAAAAAATAGAAGATTTATTGTTATACAAACTACTGCATTATTGTAATAATTGTATAAATGATGTAATTTGTGTACTCTGAAATATCAGCAAAAATCAAACATTTCCAGTACTTTGAGCTTAATTTCAAGCTATTTCTAGTACTGAAACCAATCAAAATCATCTCTATTGCTGTAATATATCTTCCATTCTATCAAATAAGACCAAGAGGACGTCTTGCTACTTCTACTTACACTTAGGTCACACTACACATACATGTACAAGCATATATATACACACCCCTCTGGGTGTTCTTCTATTTTCTTTCTAGTTCTTGTTCTTGTTTATTTCCTCTTATCTCCATGGGGAAGTGGAACAGAATTCTTCCTCCGTAAGCCATGCATGTTGTAAGAGGCGACTAAAATGCCGGGAGCAAGGGGCTAGTAACCTCTTCTCCTGTATATATTACTAAATGTAAAAGGAGAAACTTTTGTTTTTCCTTTTGGGCCGCCCCGCCTCGGTGGGATACAGCCAGTGTATTGAAAGAAAGAAAGAAGACCAAGAGGCTGTGAATACAACTAAAAAAAACATGAAAATGCACAGCGAATCCGCAGTTTTAAACCAAAAACATAGTCGCAGATTTTTTTCATTATGCACTGTGTGCTGCAGGATTTTTTATATTGTTCATACTTACCACACAGACCCATCCTCTCATATCTAGGCCCAAATTTACAGCTCACAGCTTATCTGAGCTGAGCTGGGCTCATGGCATAGTACTACAGCATAGATACTGGCTTCAAACCTATAGTACTCTGGCACAGATAGCTAAAAGGTTAAGGGGGGAGTGAGGGATTACTCTCCTAAACAAATATGGGAGGTACAGTGCCAGACCTTTAAAGGGGGAGTTTTGGATATTTGCTATTTAGAGTAACATGTAAAGTGTCATATCTACATGTCTCGGGCAAGTCATAGTGTGAATGATAGTGAAAGTGTTTCTTCTTTTGGGTCACCCCCTCAGTGGGAGACGGCCGGCATGTTACAAAAAAAATATTATCTATGTTTGTGGGGCTATTTTATTGGGTCATAATCCATAAACACAATGTGTGATCTAAGATAACCCTGAACACAACGGTTTATTCATTGTCAACAACACTTACCCCAAGACATGCCTTGAACTCGACGGTTTTCTCGCCGCATTGTCTCGTGCTGCTGCATTCTTTCTTCTCTGAGGATCTCGCTGAAAAGTAAATACCACAATGTAGTACAAATTAGAAAAAATAAAACAATGCATGGCACTTTAAAACCTGCTTAACCCGTAAACGGTCCAAGCAGATCTACGTTCACATGTGTAGAGCTACAAAAGTAGATCTACGTTTTTTTTACATATTTTCAAATATAACAAAAAAAAAAAAAAGATCTAAGTTTTTTTTACACATTTTCAAATGTAAAAAAACAAAAAGATCTACTTTTTTATATACTTTCAAATTTTGAAAAAACGTATATATATGTTTGGACCGTTTACAGGTTAATCAATCACCCTCGGGGTCCTCCCCACCCACCTTAAAACTTCCTTGATCTCTTTGAATAAAGGTCGTTTTGACGGTTCATACGTCCAGCACAGGGACATGAGGGAGTAGAGACGTGGCGGACAGTTCGGAGGGAGGGCCAGACGCTCTCCATTGTCAATTCTCTTTAAGACATCGTTATTCTTGATGCCTTGGAAAGGTTTCACTCCCAGCATTAATATTTCCCACATACACACACCTGAATAAAAATATAAGTCAGTGACTTAATTAACATCTAAAGTGTCACATATGTGCACCTCTGGCAAGACAGTGATAGTGCAAATGATGGTGAAAGTGTTTCTTTTTTTGGGACACCCTGTCTCGGTGGAAGACGGCCGGTTCGTTGAAAAAAAATAGATATACAGTGGACCCCCGGTTTACGATCAGCTCCCAATGGGACCAATTATGTAAGTGTATTTATGTAAGTGCATTTGTACGTGTATGTTTGGGGGGTCTGAAATGGACTAATTTACACTATTCCTCATGGGAACAAATTCATTCGGTAACGGCACTCGAACGGCCTTCTGGAACGAATTATGGCCGAAACTCGGGGTACCACTGTACTGAACATGCCGGCTGTCTCCCACCAAGGTAGGATGATGCAAAATAGAAGGAAAACACATTCACCATCATTCACTCACCAGTTATCTTGTCAAAAGTGTGCACACAATGTAATACAAATGTTCCTCTCAACTGCAACATCCCCAGTGGTCAAGCAGACTCACTTCTGACATGACAGTTACTAGGTGACTGATGTTGAAATTATTATCTAAACATTAGTTTGTTAAAAATATAAATATGATTGGAAGCCCATCAGACATCAATGTTAAGTCATTAATTACCCAAACATCAATATCAACACACCAAACATTGATATCAACTCACCAAACATCAATATCAACACACCAAACATTGATATCAACTACACAAAGACATCAACATTAGCTGACTAAACACACATAATATTAACATCAACTCACCAAACATCCAGACATCACTAGCACTGGTGAATCTCCTAAAGTTGATGCTTTCTGGTGCCATCCACTTGATGGGAAGCTTACCCTTGCTGGCCTTATAATAGCTCTGTTCCTCCACCCACCGTGATAAACCAAAGTCGGCCAGTTTGACGCAGTCGTGAGAGTACACCAACACGTTCCTGGCAGCAATGTCTCTGTCCAATGTAAATGCAACAATTAACTGGGTTGTTTTTACACATTCCTGGCAGCAATGTCTCTCAGGAATATAAATGTACCTTCACTGCACCGGCTGTTTCCTACTATGGCAGGGTGGCCCAAAAAAGAAGAATAACTTTAACCATCACTCACTCCATCACTGTCTTGCCAGAGAGGAATTGATACTACAATTTACAAACTGTAAATATCCTCACCACCCCTCCCTCCTCACCCCTCCTCCATCACTCTCCCTCACCCCTCCTCCATCACTCTCCCTCACCCCTCCTTCATCACCCTCCCTCACCCCTCCTTCATCACCCTCCCTCACCCCTCCTTCAGAGTGCAGATAAGGTGTAGATAAGTGGAAGACTGAATAACATAAATGGTAGAAAATAATAATGTAGAATATATGATGAAAGTAAAATAAAACATAGTGGAGGAGAGTTTGGTGAAATTTAATGTAAGTGTTGTCATATAACTAGACAAGACAGTGACTGTATGAATGACAGTCAAAGTATTTTCTTCTTTGTTGTGGTCACATGACCTTCGTGGGAGATAATCAGAGGGTTAAAACAAAATAATTACTAAGCTACATGAACAACACATTTATTTTTTTTATTTTTTTTATTATCACACTGGCCAATTCCCACCAAGGCAGGGTGGCCCGAAAAAGAAAAACTTTCACCATCATTCACTCCATCACTGTCTTGCCAGAAGGGTGCTTTACACTACAGTTTTTAAACTGCAACATTAACACCCCTCCTTCAGAGTGCAGGCACTGTACTTCCCATCTCCAGGACTCAAGTCCGGCCTGCCGGTTTCCCTGAATCCCTTCATAAATGTTACTTTGCTCACACTCCAACAGCACGTCAAGTATTAAAAACCATTTGTCTCCATTCACTCCTATCAAACACGCTCATGCATGCCTGCTGGAAGTCCAAGCCCCTCGCACACAAAACCTCCTTTACCCCCTCCCTCCAACCTTTCCTAGGCCGACCCCTACCCCGCCTTCCTTCCACTACAGACTGATACACTCTTGAAGTCATTCTGTTTCGCTCCATTCTCTCTACATGTCCGAACCACCTCAACACCCCTTCCTCAGCCCTCTGGACAACAGTTTTGGTAATCCCGCACCTCCTCCTAACTTCCAAACTACGAATTCTCTGCATTATATTCACACCACACATTGCCCTCAGACATGACATCTCCACTGCCTCCAGAATAATGATCTATTCTAGATTTTCTCCTCTAATTTCACAAGAGGACGTCTCTGCCACACGTCAGCACACTTTTGGCAAGATGGCAAGTGAATGGTCAATTATTTTTTTTTTTTTAGGTAACCCTACCTTGATATTAGATGGTCAGTGTATTTACAAACTCGGCCTGAGTGGCATAAATACTACATACACTAATGCAGTGCGTAGGTTCAAATCCTGCTGTGGACTGAGAGATAATGTTTGTAAATAATTTTGCCCATTTGTGAATTGTTAAGCACAGTCAGTATGTTAAGTCAAATGTAACACTCGGTGGGAGACGGCCGACTTGTTAAAAAAAAAAAAAAAAAAAGTCTGTGTAATATAGAAGGAAGGCGTGTTTGTACGGTTCTTAGCTCTCCAACCCCAGCAATAAGCAAAAATCACTGATGGATAGAAATGAGAATTTTCTTCATTATCGAATACATTTAAAACGCCCGATAATGTGTTTACACTATCGTATATTAAGTGCTCAATACATCTAGGCATATAAAAACAGATAAAGTAAAATAAACACAAAGCACTTACAATACTTAAATTAAAATATGGCATTGTTTACCCTTCCCATACGCAAATGTTGTACAGAAAAGTGACAAAAACAGAGAATATAATAAACAACGGCTCAACTGAAAGCCAAGAAAAACATGGTACACTGAAAAGACGATGCAGAATGTGTGGGACTCCTGTATTCTTAAACTATAATACAGTGGACCGCCGCCTTACGATCAGCTCCCAACTCGACCAATTATGTAAGTGTATTTTTGTAAGTGCTTTTGTACGTGTATTTCTGGGGGTCTGAAACAGACTAATCTAATTCAAATTATTTCTTATGGGACCAAATTCAGTCGGTAACGGCACCCGAACAGACTTCTGGAATGAAATAATATCATAAGGCGGGGGTCCACTGTAATTAGCTTTCTTTAATATATTTCTATGCATACCTGTGAACAAATTTTTTGCTTTCCAAGTAAGAGAGCGCTGTGGAGAGCTGGAAGGCGTAGAGCACCAGAGTGGCCAGGTTGAGGCGGTCTTTGTTGTTCTGCAGGTAAGCTCTCATTTCTCCAAAACGCGCCAGCTCCATCACGATCCAAAACGGCCACCCAGAGCAAATACCAATGAGTTTGATGATGTGGGGATGATCAAACTGCTGCATGATATCTGCAACAACAATAAGCATGATAATGTGGGGATGATCAAACTCCTGCATGATATCTGCAACAAAAACAGGTCACCATCCTCTCCTCGTTTTTAGCAAATATCATGAAAATAAATGGTATAAAATACCGACACACTGGAAACATAAACACATATGCAGTTTAATGTGATCCTTTATTGACAACGTTTCGCCCACACAGTGGGCTTTTTCAAGTCATACACAGATCTACCTGGGGTGGAAGTATTTATAGTCAGGTTCAGAATGTTGAGGTCAGGTGGAGAATGCTGCATCTGATTATCTACTGGGTGGGCTTATAGAGTCTTGGGTAGCTTGGCAGGGGTATTGGACAAGTTGTGAGTAGACCTTCTGCAGTGTTCTATGTTCTTATGTAGGATAGCAATGAAGAAGTTTCTTGGCGAGTGGTTCAGCTATGTTATAGAAGCCGTTGTTCTGGTTGAAACTGTTGGTTATAGAGATAAGCGATGATTCCAGGATTCTTCGGTATTGAGTGTTGTCTTCTGTGGCGATAAGTCTTGAGTTTCTGTAGTTAATTAAATGGTTGTGTGAATTGCGATGTTATACACAGGCATTCCTTGTATCGTCAGTCCTGCTTGCGTATTGGTGTTCTGAAATACGTGTTTGGAGGTCTCTTGATGTTTCGCCCACGTATAATTTGTTGCAGTCATTACCAGGGATTATGTATACCCCTGCAGAGGATGGAAGCTTGTCCTGTCTACTACTGGTGATGTCCTTGATGGTCGTGGTTGTGGAGGTAGATACTTGGAATGATGTATTGGAAAAGATGTTGGAAATATGTTTGGCAATGGAGTTGGTGGGGAGGACTATGTATCTCTTCTTGGCAGTGTCTTCTCTGGGCGTGTTGAAGATGTTTAATGCCCGCCATCTGTAGTCTCTGATGAAGTGACGAGGATAGTGGAGTTTAGAAAATACATCTTTTCCAATACATCATTCCAAGTATCTACCTCCACAACCATGACCACCAAGGACATCACCAGTAGTAGACAGGACAAGCCTCCATCCTCTGCAGGGGTATACATAATCCCTGGTAATGACTGCAACAAATTATACGTGGGCGAAACATCAAGAGACCTCCAAACACGTATTTCAGAACACCAATACGCAAGCAGGACTGATGATACAAGGAATGCCTGTGTACAACATCGCAATTCACACAACCATTTAATTAACTACAGAAACTCAAGACTTATAGCCACAGAAGACAACACTCAATACAGAAGAATCCTGGAATCATCGCTTATCTCTATAGCCAACAATTTCAACCAGAACAACGGCTTCTATAACATAGCTGAACCACTCGCCAAGAAACTTCTTCATCGCTATCCCACATAAGAACATAGAACACTGCAGAAGGTCTACTCACAACTTGTCCAATACCCCTGCCAAGCTACCCAAGACTCTATAACCCCACCCGGTACATCATCAGATGCAACATTCTCCACCTGACCTCAACATTCTGAACCTGACTATAAATACTCCCGTACCTTCCACCCCAGGTAGATCTGTTTGTGACTTGAAAAAGCCCACTGTGTGGGTGAAACGTTGTCAATAAAGGATCACATTAAACTGCATATGTGTTTATGTTTCCAGCAAATATCATCCCAACAAAGAAATAAATATTTTAATACAAGCTGTCTCTCACTGAGGAAAAACAGCAAAATAAGGAAACACTTTAATCATCACTCACTCCATCACTGTCTTGCCAGAGGTCCACTGATACTACAGCTCAAAACTGCAAAGATCCCCACCCATCCTTCAGAGTGTAGTAATTATACTTCCCACCACCACCACCCATCCTTCAGAGTGCAGGCACTGTACTTCCCACCACCACCCATCCTTCAGAGTACAGGCACTGTACTTCCCACCACCACCCATCCTTCAGAGTACAGGCACTGTACTTCCCACCACCACCCATCCTTCAGAGTGCAGGCACTGTACTTCCCACCACCACCACCCATCCTTCAGAGTGCAGGCACTGTACTTCCCACCACCACCCATCCTTCAGAGTGCAGGCACTGTACTTCCCACCACCACCACCACCCATCCTTCAGAGAGCAGGCACTGTACTTCCCACCACCACCACCACTCATCCTTTAGAGAGCAGGCACTGTACTTCCCACCACCACCACCCATCCTTCAGAGAGCAGGCACTGTACTTCCCACCACCACCACCCATCCTTCAGAGAGCAGGCACTGTACTTCCCACCACCACCACCCATCCTTCAGAGAGCAGGCACTGTACTTCCCACCACCACCACCACCATCCTTTAGAGAGCAGGCACTGTACTTCACACCACCACCACCCATCCTTCAGAGTGCAGGCACTGTACTTCCCACCACCACCACCCATCCTTCAGAGTGCAGGCACTGTACTTCCCACCACCACCACCCATCCTTCAGAGTGCAGGCACTGTACTTCCCACCACCCATCCTTCAGAGTGCAGGCACTGTACTTCCCACCACCCATCCTTCAGAGTGCAGGCACTGTACTTCCCACCACCCATCCTTCAGAGTGCAGGCACTGTACTTCCCACCACCACCACCCATCCTTCAGAGTGCAGGCACTGTACTTCCCACCACCCATCCTTCAGAGTGCAGGCACTGTACTTCCCACCACCCATCCTTCAGAGTGCAGGCACTGTACTTCCCACCACCCATCCTTCAGAGTGCAGGCACTGTACTTCCCACCACCACCACCCATCCTTCAGAGTGCAGGCACTGTACTTCCCACCACCACCCATCCTTCAGAGTGCAGGCACTGTACTTCCCACCACCACCCATCCTTCAGAGTGCAGGCACTGTACTTCCCACCACCACCCATCCTTCAGAGTGCAGGCACTGTACTTCCCACCACCACCCATCCTTCAGAGTGCAGGCCACTGCACTTCCCACCACCACCCATCCTTCAGAGTGCAGGCACTGTACTTCCCATCACCACCCATCCTTCAGAGTGCAGGCACTGTACTTCACACTTCCAGGACTCAAGTCCAGCTAACTGCAGCATTATTTTACTAACAATGTTGATGCTTCAAGCCATCCACTTCTGCCTCTCTCGTACATAAAATTTCTGGAGTTACACCTCTAAGTGTAAGTAGAAGTTGCTAACCTACACACTATGTTTACAACTTCCTGGAGTGTAAGATATGGGTCAAAGTATTGAATATACCCACTGAAGAGCCGGGCAACTATGGCTACAAGATGACAACACTGCTAATGTGTGTGGACCAAGACTCTTCAACATATTACCAGCAGTAACTTCATCACAAGTTCTTCTCCAAAGTCCGGGTTATTTGTGAATTGTTCCAGTCATGGTATTGTAACCTTTTACCTTTTTTAACATATTTAGTAACTTATTAACATATTTTTAATAAATTAGTAATTTATACAGGTGTTACCTTGCTGCCAATGTTTAGTAACTTACACAGGAGAAAGTGTTACTAGCACCTTGCTCCTGGTATTTTTGTTGCCTCTTACAACACAACTTACGGAGGAAGTATTCTTCTCCACTTCCCTATGGAGCAACTTTTATTTATAAATATTTATTGTACACATTCATAGTTAAAATTTACCTCAAAATAGAGTACATGTATTATGAAAATGGTATTGTAAGTGTTAACCAAAAGTTAGAATATAGTGTGTATAGGAGAAAGGAAGAAAAAACTTACAAGCTTCCTCTAAGAACTTCTCTGCCATGGTTCCTTCTGACTCTACTTTACAGGTCTTGATGGCAACCAGCACCGTAGAGTCGTCCCGTGAGTGATACACCCCAGTGTGAACATCACCGAACTGACCCTCCCCGATGATTTCTCCGATGTCTATACTTGAACGCTCCAGCTCGTAATCTTTGGCTGTAGTAAAGAGAGTGATGCTATGTTATACACTGTTTTATCTTGCTAAGAAGTTATACACATAAGCAGTCTTTACCTGTTAGCATCTTAGGGAAGTTATTAAAAACACTACAAAATCTGACAGATCTACACTTTAGCAGAGAGTAGATCTGTCAGATTTATTTCCACATGATACAATGTCTGTATAGAGACAGACGACATTTGGTTGTGCCTGCAGAAAGCTCGTATAGGTAGAGTAACCCAAAAGAAAAAATTCACCATCATTTAACAACTGTCTTGCCAGAAGTGTCTTGACATCATAGTTTAGGTGACTCTCTAAAGTTTAAAGCCTAAACTGCAACATCCTCATGCCTATTTCAGAGTGCAGGCACTGTACTTTCCACCTCCAGGACTCAAGTCCAGCTAATTGGTCTCCCTGAATCCCCTCAAATATTACCTTGCTCACATTCCAACAACAGGTATGTCAAAAACAACTGTTTCCTCTCAGTCTGATGTAACACTCACACAACTCCGCTGGATGTGGAATACCCAGGCACTCAAAACCTCCTTCACTCCTTACCTTCAACCCTCCTGGGACTACCCTTGCCCCTCTCTTTCACTCCTTATCTCCAACCTTCCTGGGACCACCCCTGCCCCTCCTTCATTCTTACCTTCAACCCTCCTGTGACCACCCCTGCCCCTCCTTCACTCTTACCTTCAACCCTCCTGGGACCACCCCTTCCCCTCCTTCACTCCACATACCCTGCTTGTCATTCTACTTTGATTCATCCTCTCTAAACCAGCATCTTCAGTTTGAAGAATATAGTGACCTCAAACCTTACCTTAACTCTGTTAGTTCTCTGAATATTCACACCACACACTGCCCTCAATCCATGACATCTGCACTACCTCCAGCCTACTGCCTCCAGCCTCCTCCTCCTCCTCCCTACAGCCTCCAGCCTCTTCTTTATCACCACAACACACTAGATCACAAAACAGTCAACAAGTAGCAATATAAATACAGTGGACCCCCGCTTAACGATCACCTCCCAATGCGACCAATTATGTAAGTGTATTTATGTAAGTGCGTTTGTACATGTATGTTTGGGGGTCTGAAATGGACTAATCTACTTCACAATATTCCTTATGGGAACAAATTCGGTCAGTACTGGCACCTGAACATACTTCTGGAATGAAAAAATATCGTTAACCGGGGGTCCACTGTACACAGGTTGCACAACAAGCTTACATTACAACAATGATTTACTCTGCATAGAGCTCAAGCTTTACACGGTGCTGTGCTGTCTTTCCCATAAAACCTTCAACACTACACAACATTAACATAGAGATCAGGTTGCTACTCACTCGCAGGAGTAGAGTAGTCACCCTCGTCATCAACAATTTCAGCATAGTCTTCCGAGGCGCCACCACCACCGCCTCTCTTGGTATCTCTCCCGGTCTCGGAGCTGTGTCGAGAGCTCCCGCTGCCGGACCCGCTCACTTCTGTATGGAGAATTTATACTGAATTAAGCACTGGTAGGCCTGTCTACCAGGTGATACTGACATCGATAGTCTTCCTGGTAGTCAGCTATAAACTAATAGTCAGCCTGGCAGTCAAATACACACTGATAGCCTAGTTTATACATTGACAGTCAGCTATACACTGATAGCCTGGTAGTTATCTATACACTGAAACACTAAGATTCAGCCTGGTAGTCAGCTATATGCTGATAGTCAGCCTAGCAGTCAGCTATACACTGAGAGAGTGTTTGTTATTCACTTTATGTTATAAATGGAAATATTCCTGGATAAGAGTTCACTTACAATACATAACAATATCAGTGCTAGTGAAGCTTGACTTGTACAAGAACATTACAAGTTGCTGAAGACTTGTATTCTCACACACTAGGTGAAACAATGACAAGTTTGTGGTGTAGTTGTAATAAGCAACAGTATGCTTCTCTCGTGTACAGTATGTAAGCTACCAACACAAAAATGTGTACGTACTACATAATAATGTGTAAATACTACACAATAATTTGTACACACTACACAATATTTGTTATAAAACAAGGAAAACAAGCACAGTAACGTCCTCGGGACAAGACGCTGAACTTTTGTGTCTCGTTGACACACAACAAACTTGCACAATTAAGCTGTATATCCTAATTGAATGATCAAATTTAGTGCATATACTCATAATGTTGGAAAATGATGAGATACACTGCCATGTCTCTCATGCACTTATTGCATGCTGGACTTAATAATGTTAGGTGAGGTGTCGTACAGTGAAGGTGACGCAGACTAAGAATGTTGCATGCAGTGTATGTACCAGTTGTAAGTTATACACCAGACTAAGAATGTTGCATGCAGTGTTAAGTACAAACCATGAGTCACACATCAGACTAAGGATGTAGCATGCAACAGCAGTAGTAATCAGCTACAAACCAAGCTGGAACAAACCTTGTGACATCTGGCACGGGCAAGGTAAAGACTTCCAAACATGAACTATAGTTGATGATGCAATGAGCGAGAAAGGATCCCATGGAGCAAGTCAACCAGGCAGTGAGCAAGCAGCACCAGGGAGCACAGAGAAAGACAGTCAGGAGTTAGTTATGCAGTTAATACCTGGCATTCATTTTGGCCGCCGCCTCTGCCACCGCAACCAGTAAACTGATGTTTTACCAGAGATGCCAAGCAAATCTCTACTAACTTTTACTTGCTATACACATGAGATAGTAGTGACACCAGCGTAAACACTTTGGTGAATGGAGGGTAGGCCTGGTCGAGTGGACGAGTGGACAACACACTGGCCTACTACTTTTAGTACTGGCCTGGTCGAGTGGACAACACACTGGTCTGCTACTTTCAGCACTGAATGTTACTTTCAGCATGTCTTTTGCTCAGATAAAAGCTTGACAGAAGCTTCATCAGATATTAAGCTCTGATAAAAGCTTGACAGAAGCTTTTCACAAAGCTTAACATTGTCATAATAAATGCTTGTTGTGTTCATATAACTTCAACTCTATCTTATAGGCAGCTTACTCTTATATGCAAATATACACATCAAGATATAAATGTAAACCATACCACGGGCGGGATTTGAACCCACGGTCAGAGTCTCAAAACTCCAGACCGTCGCGTTAGCCACTGGACCAGCTAGCCACATAAGATTCATCCAACTAGGTATAGTTTTGAGACTCTCTGACCGCGGGTTCAAATCCCGCCCGTGGTATGGTTTGTTTGCAATCGTGTCATTACGATTTCGTGAGTCAAGATATGAATGTATTTCTGTATGTGTCAAGAGTATTTCAAACATACACCAGAGTTATATACAATATTTTAATGGTGTGTAGATTAGCGAAGCATAGTGTTATTTCTAGTAAAAGATAACTACTAGTACACTGATAACACTGACTAACTCTCTATATGGTGTTCCAAAAAGTCTCCATACATAAATAATATTTTTTTTTAGATATCATTTTTTAATGTCTTTGTCAGAAGAACATACAGGTGAGCCTTGACTTACAGTGGAGTTACGTTCTGACGAACCCATCGCAAGTCAAAAATATCCAAAGTCAAATATAAATATATGCTAAATAAATAAGTAAATAAATAACTACTGTCACTGAATAAAGAAATAAATAATTATTGTAACTAACTAAATACAGTGGTACCTCGAGTTCCGAAGTTAATTCATTCCAGAAGACTGTTCAAGTGCCAGTACTGAACGAATTTGTTCCTATAAGGAATAATGTAAATTAGATCAGTCCATTTCAGACCCCCAAAAATATACTAACAAAAGCACTTACAAAAATACACTTAGATAATTGTTCAAGTTGGGAGATGTTTGAAACTCGAGGTACCACTGTACCAGTAATGAAAAAGATATAAATAAATACAAGCCAGGGACTTGCCACCTTCATGCTGGGTAATTATCTTAAGATTCATCTCCTAAGTAATTACTTTTGCACCATTATAAAGTCAAAATATCCTAAGTTGAACCATCGTAAGTCGAGGAGCACTTATATAGAAATAATTTTCATGACTGGATAGGAAATCTGTCGCCAGGTTGCAGCGAACATCAAGAGGAAACGTCAAGTGCATCGTACGTGATATTCTTGCCAAACTTACTGCAAAATTCAAAAAGACTTTAAGTACTGTGGATCAAACGTGTTTTGAAGTGTTGTGAATCAAACGTATTAACAGGTTTTCACTGAGTGGGCGAGGCAGCTGCATATGCTTACAAAGACACAGCATTCACAAATAATTATCTGTAAATACAGTTACATTCTGCTAAACTTGCTAAATTTCCCTATGTATGGAGACTTTTGGGACACCCTGTAATGTGACACTCTGATATGTTGTGCTGCAAGAAATATTAGTTGATAAGGTTAATATCTGTAAGTGTAGTGCACAGTTTATTGTGCACACCAGACCCAGCCTGTGGATGATAGTACTGGATAGTTATTGTGCACACCAGACCCAGCCTGTGGATGACAGTACTGGATAGTTATTGTACACACCAGACCCAGCCTGTGGATGACAGTACTGGATAGTTATTGTACACACCAGACCCAGCCTGTGGATGACAGTACTGGATAGTTATTGTACACACCAGACCCAGCCTGTGGATGACAGTACTGGATAGTTATTGTACACACCAGACCCAGCCTGTGGATGACAGTACTGGATAGTTATTGTACACACCAGACCCAGCCTGTGGATGACAGTACTGGATAGTTATTGTACACACCAGACCCAGCCTGTGGATGACAGTACTGGATAGTTATTGTACACACCAGACCCAGCCTGTGGATGACAGTACTGGATAGTTATTGTACACACCAGACCCAGCCTGTGGATGACAGTACTGGATAGTTATTGTACACACCAGACCCAGCCTGTGGATGACAGTACTGGATAGTTATTGTACACACCAGACCCAGCCTGTGGATGACAGTACTGGATAGTTATTGTACACACCAGACCCAGCCTGTGGATGATATTACAACAACAAATACACATACAGAATGTATATAAATTAAAACACTAAAAGGGTTAAGAGGAATATATGTGGATATACACCATGTATACAAAGTGTTTGTATATTAATAGTACGAGAGATGCGTGTTAGCAATACAATAAGCAGTAAACAGCAATAAAATTCACTGGTGGATCAAACAGCTCCTCAATTAAATATCTTATTAATTTACAAGTGATGTTAATTTACACGTTATTGATTTACAAGCTATTTTAATTTACAAATTATATTTTATGTTGCAAGCAAATTTATAGAGCTTAAGTCAAAATTTCTGTTATATTATTGTTGCTAAAGAGGTTAGTACCATGGTGCCCTGGTATCTGTGGGTAATACCTCTGAATACCTATCATGGATACCCAGAACCGCAGATAGTAATAAACCCTATATGTGTCATTTATCTTCTTTCAACTCACCGTCCGTATCCCACCAAGGCAGGGCAACCCAAAAAAAAAAAAAAAAAAAAAAAAAAAAAAAATTTCCCCTTTTAAATTTAATGATGTATACAGGAGAAACGGTTATTATCCCCTTGCTCCCAGCATTTTAGCCGCCTCTTACGACACGCGTGACTTACAGAGGAAGAATTCTTTTGCACTTCCCCATGGAGAAAGTTGTTTATCATCCACATTAATACCTATGATAAATTTTAACAGATAAATTATGCACAAATTGAGAATTATCACTAAAAGTTGAGAATTAACACTTTTTTCACTGATGGGAAGAACTTCACAGCTTCTCTTAGACTCTGAACAACCATTATTTAATACACTTCAGCATCATTATTAAGCAAAATTAAGAGTTGTTTTAAGGCCACAGTAAACCTTGGATAACTGAAACTGTATCTGTGGATACTGGGGTTCTACTGTATATTGAACTTGTACATAAATTACTGCACCGTCTAGCTCTATGTTGATGTTAAAATGAGAGTGATAGAATTTCAGTAGTCTTAGTATAGAAGCCATGGAACGGGTAAAGTTTGAACCCCATGGTAAGTGGGTGTTACAACTCCAGGCCAGTGTGTTAACCACTGAACCAGTGTGTTAACCACTGGACCAGTGTGTTAACCACTGGACCAGTGTGTTAACCACTGGACCAGTGTGTTAACCACTGAACCAGTGTGTTAACCACTGGACCAGTATGTTAACCACTGGACCAGTGTGTTAACCACTGGACCAGTGTGCTAACCACTGGACCAGTGTGTTAACCACTGGACCAGTGTGTTAACCACTGGACCAGTGTGCTAACCACTGGACCAGTGTGCTAACCACTGGACCAGTGTGCTAACCACTGGACCAGTGTGCTAACCACTGGACCAGTGTGCTAACCACTGGACCAGTGTGCTAACCACTGGACCAGTGTGTTAACCACTGAACCAGTGTGCTAACCACTGGACCAGCTGGTTTTAATGAGATTCATACAACTAGGTATACAATAAGATCACAGTAGATAGGTGATATCACAATAAGATCACAGTAGATAGGTGATATCACAATAAGATCACAGTAGATAGGTGATATCACAATAAGATCACAGTAGATAGGTGATATCACAATAAGATCACAGTAGATAGGTGACATCACAATAAGATCACAGTAGATAGGTGACATCACAATAAGATCACAGTAGATAGGTGACATCACAATAAGATCACAGTAGATAGGTGACATCACAATAAGATCACAGTAGATAGGTGACATCACAATAAGATCACAGTAGATAGGTGACATCACAATAAGATCACAGTAGATAGGTGACATCACAATAAGATCACAGTAGATAGGTGACATCACAATAAGATCACAGTAGATAGGTGACATCACAATAAGATCACAGTAGATAGGTGACATCACAATAGGTAACTTCTCACATTATCAAGGAACATGTTTCTTGATAATGTGAGAAATCACAAAAGAAGTTGGAAGTTCACTAATTTTTTTCACAGTGGTTGTTTTGCATACAATTATGTATATTTCTATACACCATGGGGAGGTTAGCATGGGCCACCACTGTGACCACAAATGATTTTTTACAGATGACTGCCACACCAGCATGACTGCCACACCAGCATGACTGCCACACCAGCATGACTGCCACACCAGCATGACTGCCACGCCAGCATGACTGCCACACCAGCATGACTGCCACACCAGCATGACTGCCACACCAGCATGACTGCCACACCAGCATGACTGCCACACCAGCATGACTGCCACGCCAGCATGACTGCCACACCAGCATGACTGCCACACCAGCATGACTGCCACGCCAGCATGACTGCCATGCCAACATTACTGCCACACCAGCATGACTGCCACACCAGCATGACTGCCACGCCAGCATGACTGCCATGCCAACATTACTGCCACACCAGCATGACTGCCACACCAGCATGACTGCCACACCAGCATGACTGCCACACCAGCATGACTGCCACACCAGCATGACTGCCACGCCAGCATGACTGCCATGCCAACATTACTGCCCACACAGCATGACTGCCACACCAGCATGACTGCCACACCAGCATGACTGCCACACCAGAATGACTGCCATGCCAACATTACTGCCACACCAGCATGACTGCCACACCAGCATGACTGCCACGCCAGCATGACTGCCATGCCAACATTACTGCCACACCAGCATGACTGCCATGCCAACATTACTGCCACACCAGCATGACTGCCACACCAGCATGACTGCCACGCCAGCATGACTGCCATGCCAACATTACTGCCACACCAGCATGACTGCCACACCAGCATGACTGCCACACCAGAATGACTCCCATGCCAGCATGACTGCCACGCCAACATTACTGCCACGCCAGCATGACTGCCATGCCAGCATGACTGCCACGCCAGCATGACTGCCACGCCAGCATGACTGCCACGCCAGCATGACTGCCATGCCAGCATGACTGCCACGCCAGCATGACTGCCATGCCAGCATGACTGCCACACCAGCATGACTGCCATGCCAGCATGACTGCCACACCAGCATGACTGCCACGCCAGCATGACTGCCATGCCAGCATGACTGCCACGCCAGCATGACTGCCATGCCAGCATGACTGCCACACCAGCATGACTGCTACGCCAGCATGACTGCCATGCCAGCATGACTGCCACGCCAACATTACTGCCACGCCAGCATGACTGCCATGCCAGCATGACTGCCACACCACATGACTGCCACGCCAGCATGACTGCCATGCCAGCATGACTGCCACGCCAGCATGACTGCCATGCCAGCATGACTGCCACACCAGCATGACTGCTACGCCAGCATGACTGCCATGCCAGCATGACTGCCACGCCAACATTACTGCCACGCCAGCATGACTGCCATGCCAGCATGACTGCCACACCAGCATGACTGCCACGCCAGCATGACTGCCATGCCAGCATGACTGCCACGCCAGCATGACTGCCATGCCAGCATGACTGCCACACCAGCATGACTGCTACGCCAGCATGACTGCCATGCCAGCATGACTGCCACGCCAACATTACTGCCACGCCAGCATGACTGCCATGCCAGCATGACTGCCACACCAGAATGACTCCCATGCCAGCATGACTGCCATGCCAGCATGACTGCCACGCCAACATTACTGCCACGCCAGCATGACTGCCACACCAGCATGACTGCTACGCCAGCATGACTGCCATGCCAGCATGACTGCCACGCAACATTACTGCCACGCCAGCATGACTGCCATGCCAGCATGACTGCCACACCAGCATGACTGCCACGCCAGCATGACTGCCATGCCAGCATGACTGCCACGCCAGCATGACTGCCATGCCAGCATGACTGCCACACCAGCATGACTGCTACGCCAGCATGACTGCCATGCCAGCATGACTGCCACGCCAACATTACTGCCACGCCAGCATGACTGCCATGCCAGCATGACTGCCACACCAGAATGACTCCCATGCCAGCATGACTGCCATGCCAGCATGACTGCCACGCCAACATTACTGCCACGCCAGCATGACTGCCATGCCAGCATGACTGCCACGCCAGCATGACTGCCATGCCAGCATGACTGCCACACCAGCATGACTGCCACACCAGCATGACTGCTACGCCAGCATGACTGCCACGCCAGCATGACTGCCACGCCAACATTACTGCCACGCCAGCATGACTGCCATGCCAGCATGACTGCCACACCAGAATGACTCCCATGCCAGCATGACTGCCACGCCAACATTACTGCCACGCCAGCATGACTGCCATGCCAGCATGACTGCCACGCCAGCATGACTGCCATGCCAGCATGACTGCCACACCAGCATGACTGCCACACCAGCATGACTGCCACACCAGAATGACTCCCATGCCAGCATGACTGCCACGCCAACATTACTGCCACGCCAGCATGACTGCCATGCCAGCATGACTGCCACGCCAGCATGACTGCCATGCCAGCATGACTGCCACGCCAGCATGACTGCCATGCCAGCATGACTGCCACACCAGCATGACTGCCACACCAGCATGACTGCTACGCCAGCATGACTGCCATGCCAGCATGACTGCCACGCCAACATTACTGCCACGCCAGCATGACTGCCATGCCAGCATGACTGCCACACCAGAATGACTCCCATGCCAGCATGACTGCTACGCCAGCATGACTGCCATGCCAGCATGACTGCCACGCAACATTACTGCCACGCCAGCATGACTGCCATGCCAGCATGACTGCCACACCAGAATGACTCCCATGCCAGCATGACTGCCACGCCAACATTACTGCCATGCCAGCATGACTGCCATGCCAGCATGACTGCCACGCCAGCATGACTGCCATGCCAGCATGACTGCCACACCAGCATGACTGCCACACCAGCATGACTGCCACACCAGAATGACTCCCATGCCAGCATGACTGCCACGCCAACATTACTGCCACGCCAGCATGACTGCCATGCCAGCATGACTGCCACGCCAGCATGACTGCCATGCCAGCATGACTGCCACACCAGCATGACTGCCACACCAGCATGACTGTTTACGCCAGCATGACTGCCATGCCAGCATGACTGCCACGCCAACATTACTGCCACGCCAGCATGACTGCCATGCCAGCATGACTGCCACGCCAACATTACTGCCACGCCAGCATGACTGCCACGCCAGCATGACTGCCACGCCAACATTACTGCCACGCCAGCATGACTGCCATGCCAGCATGACTGGCCACGCCAACATTACTGCCACGCCAGCATGACTGCCATGCCAGCATGACTGCCACGCCAACATTACTGCCACGCCAGCATGACTGCCATGCCAGCATGACTGCCACGCCAACATTACTGCCACGCCAGCATGACTGCCACGCCAGCATGACTGCCATGCCAACATTACTGCCATGCCAGCATGACTGCCACGCCAGCATGACTGCTATGCCAGCATGACTGCCACGCCAGCATGACTGCCACACTAACAACAACTAAGGGAAATAACTGACCCTTAGTGTTCCAGAGGGAGGTGCGGGTGTTGTTGACTAGGCGACAATATCCATCTATAAGGTCAGCAAGACTCTCGGCACTGGCGATGCTGGGACAGGTGACGCTCAGGGCTTCTGCCGTTCCTGCTACCTGCAAACAATAAAAACATTAATTTGTGATGAAAGATCGATGTTTTGAGTAAAAACTTAAATAAACATTGGAAAAGATGTTGTATTTGGTATTTTTATGAGTAGCAGAAAATATATTGTGAGTTAAGTTGCAACGATGACAAAAAAAAAAAAGGAGTTTCTCAAGTATTTCTATACAACGAACTTTTTTTTTTAAGACGCTGGCCGTCTCCCACTGAGGTACGGTGACCCAAAAAATACAGTTTCACCATCACTCACTCCACCACTGTCTTGCCAATTCAAAAACTGCAACATATCTCCAGCCATCCTTCAAACTACAGGCACTGTACTTCCCAGTACCAGCCATCCTTCAAACTCCAGGCACTGTACTTCCCAGTACCAGCCATCCTTCAAACTCCAGGCACTGTACTTCCCAGTACCAGCCATCCTTCAGACTACAGGCACTGTACTTCCCAGTACCAGCCATCCTTCAAACTACAGGCACTGTACTTCCCAGTACCAGCCATCCTTCAGAGTGCAGGTACTATACTTCCAAGTACCAGCCATCCTTCAGAGTGCAGGTACTATACTTCCAAGTACCAGCCATCCTTCAGAGTGCAGGTACTATACTTCCCAGTACCAGCCATCCTTCAGAGTGCAGGTACTATACTTCCCAGTACCAGCCATCCTTCAGAGTGCAGGTACTATACTTCCCAGTACCAGCCATCCTTCAGAGTGCAGGTACTATACTTCCCAGTACCAGCCATCCTCAGAGTGCAGGTACTATACTTCCCAGTACCAGCCATCCTTCAGAGTGCAGGTGCTATACTTCCCAGTACCAGCCATCCTTCAAACTACAGGCACTGTACTTCCCAGTACCAGCCATCCTTCAGAGTGCAGGTACTATACTTCCCAGTACCAGCCATCCTTCAGAGTGCAGGTACTATACTTCTCAGTACCAGCCATCCTTCAGAGTGCAGGTACTGTACTTCTCAGTACCAGCCATCCTTCAGAGTGCAGGTACTATACTTCCCAGTACCAGCCATCCTTCAGAGTGCAGGTACTATACTTCTCAGTACCAGCCATCCTTCAGAGTGCAGGTACTATACTTCCCAGTACCAGCCATCCTTCAGAGTGCAGGTACTATACTTCCCAGTACCAGCCATCCTTCAGAGTGGAGGTACTATACTTCCAAGTACCACCAAATCCTTCAGAGTGCAGGTACTATACTTCTCAGTACCAGCCATCCTTCAGAGTGCAGGTACTATACTTCCCAGTACCAGCCATCCTTCAGAGTGCAGGTACTATACTTCCCAGTATCAGCCATCCTTCAGAGTGCAGGTACTATACTTCTCAGTACCAGCCATCCTTCAGAGTGCAGGTACTATACTTCCCAGTATTCACCATCCTTCAGAGTGCAGGTACTATACTTCTCAGTACCAGCCATCCTTCAGAGTGCAGGTACTATACTTCCAAGTACCAGCCATCCTTCAGAGTGCAGGTACTATACTTCCCAGTACCAGCCATCCTTCAGAGTGCAGGTACTATACTTCCCAGTACCAGCCATCCTTCAGAGTGGAGGTACTATACTTCCAAGTACCAGCCATCCTTCAGAGTGCAGGTACTATACTTCTCAGTACCAGCCATCCTTCAGAGTGCAGGTACTATACTTCCCAGTACCAGCCATCCTTCAGAGTGCAGGTACTATACTTCCCAGTATCAGCCATCCTTCAGAGTGCAGGTACTATACTTCTCAGTACCAGCCATCCTTCAGAGTGCAGGTACTATACTTCCCAGTACCAGCCATCCTTCAGAGTGCAGGTACTATACTTCTCAGTACCAGCCATCCTTCAGAGTGCAGGTACTATACTTCCCAGTACCAGCCATCCTTCAGAGTGCAGGTACTATACTTCTCAGTACCACCGATTCTTCAGAGTGCAGGGAGGAACATGGTAGTAACCATCAGGGAGGAACATGGTAGTAACCATCAGGGAGGAACATGGTAGTAACCATCTGGGAGGAACATGGTAGTAACCATCAGGGAGGAACATGGTAGTAACCATCTGGGAGGAACATGGTAATAACCATCTGGGAGGAACATGGTAGTAACCATCTGGGAGGAACATGGTAGTAACCATCAGGGAGGAACATGGTAGTAACCATCAGGGAGGAACATGGTAGTAACCATCAGGAACATGGTAGTAACCATCAGGAACATGGTAGTAACCATCAGGGAGGAACATGGTAGTAACCATCAGGAACATGGTAGTAACCATCAGGAACATGGTAGTAACCATCAGGGAGGAACATGGTAGTAACCATCAGGGAGGAACATGGTAGTAACCATCAGGAACATGGTAGTAACCATCAGGGAGAAACATGGTAGTAACCATCAGGGAGGAACATGGTAGTAACCATCAGGAACATGGTAGTAACCATCAGGAACATGGTAGTAACTATCAGGAACATGGTAGTAACTATCAGGAACATGGTAGTAATCATCTGGGAGGAACATGGTAGTAACCATCAGGAACATGGTAGTAACCATCAGGGAGAAACATGGTAGTAACCATCAGGGAGGAACATGGTAGTAACCATCAGGAACATGGTAGTAACCATCAGGAACATGGTAGTAACCATCAGGGAGGAACATGGTAGTAACCATCAGGGAGGAACATGGTAGTAACCATCAGGAACATGGTAGTAACTATCAGGAACATGGTAGTAACTATCAGGAACATGGTAGTAACCATCAGGAACATGGTAGTAACCATCAGGGAGGAACATGGTAGTAACCATCAGGAACATGGTAGTAACCATCAGGGAGAAACATGGTAGTAACCATCAGGGAGGAACATGGTAGTAACCATCAGGAACATGGTAGTAACCATCAGGAACATGGTAGTAACCATCAGGGAGAAACATGGTAGTAACCATCAGGGAGGAACATGGTAGTAACCATCAGGAACATGGTAGTAACTATCAGGAACATGGTAGTAATCATCTGGGAGGAACATGGTAGTAACCATCAGGGAGGAACATGGTAGTAACCATCTGGGAGGAACATGGTAGTAACCATCAGGGAGGAACATGGTAGTAACCATCAGGGAGGAACATGGTAGTAATCATCTGGGAGGAACATGGTAGTAACCATCAGGGAGGAACATGGTAGTAACCATCAGGGAGGAACATGGTAGTAACCATCAGGGAGGAACATGGTAGTAACCATCTGGGAGGAACATGGTAGTAACCATCAGGGAGGAACATGGTAGTAACCATCAGGGAGGAACATGGAAAGTAATCATCTGGGAGGAACATGGTAGTAACCATCAGGGAGGAACATGGTAGTAACCATCAGGGAGGAACATGGTAGTAATCATCTGGGAGGAACATGGTAGTAACCATCAGGGAGGAACATGGTAGTAACCATCAGGGAGGAACATGGTAGTAACCATCAGGGAGGAACATGGTAGTAACCATCAGGGAGGAACATGGTAGTAACCATCAGGGAGGAACATGGTAGTAACCATCAGGGAGGAACATGGTAGTAACCATCAGGGAGGAACATGGTAGTAACCATGAAGGACAAAGTCAGACAATAACAGTCGCTGGTACAGGCGGTCGGTGACTTACAACAGGGTTACTCTCCACGAACACGTCATAACTCAAAAATACGATATGCTAAAAAAATAAGTAAATAAATAACCACTGTCACTGAATAAGTAAATCAATAATAATTACTGTAAATATCAGTATTGAAAAGTCAATAAATAAATACAGTGGAACCTCAAATATCGAACTTTCTTCAGTCCAGAAGGCTGTTCGAGTGCCTTTACCGAATGAATTTATTCCCATCAGGAATAATGTAAATTAGATTAGTCCATTTCAGACCCTCAAAAATACACTTACAAAAGCACTTACAAAAATACACTTACATAATTGGTTGTGTTGGGAGCAGTTCGATTTTTGAGGTTCCACTGTAACAAGTTACGGGCTTGCTGCCTTCACGCTGGGTAATTACCTTAAGTTTCATCTCCAAATTACTTTTACACCATCGCAAAGTTGAAATGCCGTAAGTCGAACCATCATAAGTCAAGGAGATCCTGTATACAGTGGACCCCCGCTTTATGATCAGCTCCCAATGCGACCAATTATGTAAGTGTATTTATGTAAGTGCGTTTGTACGTGTATGTTTGGGGGTCTGAAATGGACTAACCTAATTCACAATATTCCTTATGGGAACAAATTCGTTCAGTAATGGCACCTGAACATACTTCTGGAATGAAATAATATCGTAAGCCGGGGGTCCACTGTATATCAACATTCAACTGAGCTTCTCTTCAGTAAAGAGGATCTCAGGTCACAATTTCTTTTGCCTTGTTATGGGTTGATAAAAAGTGGAATAGCAAGATGTATCATTGAGAATTAAGGATTTTATTTCTTTGCATAATTTACAATGTGTAATTACAATTTTGATTTGCGAAGCACAAAGAAAGCCACTATGATTCCAGGGCATTTTGGGCAGTACTAACTAACCTTGAGCTGGACAAGAGCCTTGCGGTGGACGGCACAGTCAGTGGTCAGTGTGTCAACATTCTGCACTTGCTCAAAACTTGCCATGTGTTGAGGCTGAAAATAATCAGAGATAAATAAAATTAAATTTAATTTTATTTTACAAGAATAACACATGTTGGTGTTTGTGTCTTACAAGTATGTATAGACAGTCATCACGTTAATGGTATACAAGTACGTATAGACAGTCATCACGTTAATGGTATACAAGTATAGACAGTCATCACGTTAATGGTATACAAGTATAGACAGTCATCACGTTAATGGTATACAAGTATACAGTCATCACATTAATGGTATACAAGTATACAGTCATCACATTAATGGTATACAAGTATAGACAGTCATCACAATAATGGTATACAAGTATACACAGTCATCACATTGATGGTATACAAGTATAGACAGTCATCACAATAATGGTATACAAGTATACACGGTCATCACATTGATGGTATCAAACATTTCTTGCTGAAACATTATCTAAATCAACACACTCAGGTGTTTTGTGTGTCTAATTCATCAACACAACCATGACAGCCAGGTTGATCAAGCATTTGCAGCAGGCAGCGAGTGATAATATACAGAGGAACCTCAGTATAAGACCAGCTCCGTACTCGAACAAAACTCAGCACTCGACCAAACAAATAAACTTGCCAGAACTTTGCTGTAAACTATTTCGTGTTTCTTTGCTTTTTTTCTTACTTTTTTTATATAATTTGTATAAACAAGTCAGCATGGGGCCTACGAAGATTAGTGGGGCCTACGAAGATTAGTGGGGCCTACGAAGATTAGTGGGGCCTACGAAGATTAGTGGGGCCTACGAAGATTAGTGGGGCCTACGAAGATTAGTGGGGCCTACGAAGATTAGTGGGGCCTACGAAGATTAGTGGGGCCTACGAAGATTAGTGGGGCCTACGAAGATTAGTGGGGCCTACGGAGATTAGTGGGGCCTACGTAGATTAGTGGGACCTACGGAGATTAGCGGGGCCTACGAAGATTAGCAGGACCTACGGAGAAATTTTAGCGCCTACGAAGATTAGTGGGGCCTACGAAGATTAGTGGGGCCTACGAAGATTAGTGGGGCCTACGAAGATTAGTGGGGCCTACGAAGATTAGTGGGGCCTACGAAGATTAGTGGGGCCTACGAAGATTAGTGGGACCTACGAAGATTAGTGGGACCTACGGAGATTAGTGGGACCTACGGAGATTAGTGGGACCTACGGAGATTAGTGGGGCCTACGAAGATTAGTGGGACCTACGAAGATTAGTGGGGCCTACGTAGATTAGTGGGACCTACGGAGATTAGCGGGGCCTACGAAGATTAGCAGGACCTACGGAGATTAGTAGCGCCTACGAAGATTAGTGGGGCCTACGAAGATTAGTGGGGCCTACGAAGATTAGTGGGGCCTACGAAGATTAGTGGGGCCTACGAAGATTAGTGGGACCTACGAAGATTAGTGGGACCTACGGAGATTAGTGGGACCTACGGAGATTAGTGGGACCTACGGAGATTAGTGGGGCCTACGAAGATTAGTGGGACCTACGAAGATTAGTGGGGCCTACGTAGATTAGTGGGACCTACGGAGATTAGCGGGGCCTACGAAGATTAGCAGGACCTACGGAGATTAGTAGCGCCTACGAAGATTAGTGGGGCCTACGAAGATTAGTGGGGCCTATGAAGATTAGTGGGGCCTACGAAGATTAGTGGGGCCTACGAAGATTAGTGGGACCTACGAAGATTAGTGGGACCTACGAAGATTAGTGGGGCCTACGAAGATTAGTGGGACCTACGGAGATTAGTGGGGCCTACGGAGATTAGTGATAACAGCCGACCAAACAGAAAATTGGTTGGGAAAAACTTGTTGGATACTCAGAGCGGCACATGAACAGCCTTCTGGAATGAATTAAGGTCGCGTACCAAGGTTCCACTGTGCTTGTGACTGGTTCTGCAAGACGTTTTACCCAAAAAACTGAAGTATTCTTGTTGACGTCCTGATGGGAACTACAAGGGTTTAAAAAATATATGAGAGCGCTTGATCAGCATTATTCACTACAAAATTAAGAATCTGAAACAACAGCTGGAGTATTTTCCTCCAAACTTGATCCATTAAGTGTTATGTCTTATAGGTTCTGGAGTACCTTTCTCATGACCCAGTCTTAGACCCAGCCTCATGACCCAGTCTTAGACCCCTGCCTCATGACCCAGTCTTAGACCCCTGCCTCATGGCCCAGTCTTAGACCCCTGCCTCATGACCCAGTCTTAGACCCCTGCCTCATGACCCAGTCTTAGACCCAGCCTCATGACCCAGTCTTAGACCCAGCCTCATGACCCAGTCTTAGACCCAGCCTCATGACCCAGTCTTAGACCCCTGCCTCATGACCCAGTCTTAGACCCCTGCCTCATGACCCAGTCTTAGACCCTGCCTCATGACAAAGTCTTAGACCCAGCCTCATGACCCAGTCTTAGACCCTGCCTCATGACCCAGTCTTAGACCCTGCCTCATGACCCAGTCTTAGACACTGCCTCATGACCCAGTCTTAGACCCTGCCTCATGACCCAGTCTTAGACCCTGCCTCATGACAGTCTTAGACCCAGCCTCATGACCCAGTCTTAGACCCTGCCTCATGACCCAGTCTTAGACCCTGCCTCATGACCAGTCTTAGACCCAGCCTCATGAACCCAGTCTTAGACACTGCCTCATGACCCAGTCTTAGACCTGGCCTCATGGCCCAGTCTTAGACCCAGCCTCATGGCCCAGTCTTAGACCCAGCCTCATGGCCCAGTCTTAGGCCCTGCCTCATGGCCCAGTCTTAGACCCTGCCTCATGGCCCAGTCTTAGACCCGGCCTCACGACCCAGTCTTAGACACGGCCTCATGACCCAGTCTTAGACACGGCCTCATGACCCAGTCTTAGACCCGGCCTCATGACCCAGTCTTAGACCCGGCCTCATGGCCCAGTCTTAGACCCTGCCTCATGACCCAGTCTTAGACCCGGCCTCATGGCCCAGTCTTAGACCCAGCCTCATGACCCAGTCTTAGACCTGGCCTCATGGCCCAATCTTAGACCCGGCCTCATTGCCCAGTCTTAGACCCTGTCTCATGACCCAGTCTTAGACCCGGCCTCATGGCCCAGTCTTAGACCCAGCCTCATGGCCCAGTCTTAGACCCGGCCTCATGGCCCAGTCTTAGACCCAGCCTCATGACCCAGTCTTAGACCTGGCCTCATGGCCCAGTCTTAGACCTGGCCTCATGACCCAGTCTTAGACCTGGCCTCATGACCCAGTCTTAGACCCGGCCTCATGGCCCAGTCTTAGACCCCGGGCCCCATGACCCAGTCTTAGACCCAGCATCATGACCCAGTCTTAGACCCTGCCTCATGGCCCAGTCTTAGACCCGGCCTCATGGCCCAGTCTTAGACCCGGCCTCATGGCCCAGTCTTAGACCCAGCATCATGACCCAGTCTTAGACCCTGCCTCATGGCCCAGTCTTAGACCCGGCCTCATGGCCCAGTCTTAGACCCGGCCTCATGATCCAGTCTTAGACCCACGTCATGACCCCAGTCTTAGACCCTGCCTCATGACCCAGTCTTAGACCCGGCTTCATACCCAGTCTTAGACCCGGCGTCATGGCCCAGTCTTAGACCCTGCCTCATGGCCCAGTCTTAGACCCGGCCTCATGGCCCAGTCTTAGACCCAGCCTCATGACCCAGTCTTAGACCTGGCCTCATGGCCCAGTCTTAGACCCGGCCTCATTGCCCAGTCTTAGACCAAGCCTCATGACCCAGTCTTAGACCCGGCCTCATGGCCCAGTCTTAGACCCGGCCTCATGACCCAGTCTTAGACCCAGCATCATGACCCAGTCTTAGACCCTGCCTCATGGCCCAGTCTTAGACCCGGCCTCATGGCCCACTCTTAGACCCGGCCTCATGGCCCAGTCTTAGACCCAGCATCATGACCCAGTCTTAGACCCTGCCTCATGGCCCAGTCTTAGACCCGGCCTCATGGCCCAGTCTTAGACCCGGCCTCATGATCCAGTCTTAGACCCAGCGTCATGACCCAGTCTTAGACCCTGCCTCATGACCCAGTCTTAGACCCGGCTTCATGACCCAGTCTTAGACCCGGCGTCATGGCCCAGTCTTAGACCCTGCCTCATGGCCCAGTCTTAGACCCGGCCTCATGGCCCAGTCTTAGACCCTGCCTCATGACCCAGTCTTAGACCGTGCCTCATGATCCAGTCTTAGACCCAGCCTCATGGCCCAGTCTTAGACCCAGCCTCATGACCCAGTCTTAGACCCGGCATCATGGCCCAGTCTTAGACCCTGCCTCATGGCCCAGTCTTAGACCCGGCCTCATGGTCCAGTCTTAGACCCTGCCTCATGGTCCAGTCTTAGACCCTGCCTCATGACCCAGTCTTAGACCTGGCCTCATGACCCAGTCTTAGACCTGGCCTCATGGCCCAGTCTTAGACCCTGCCTCATGATCCAGTCTTAGACCCTGCCTCATGGCCCAGTCTTAGACCCGACCTCATGATCCAGTCTTAGACCCAGCGTCATGACCCAGTCTTAGACCCAGCATCATGACCCAGTCTTAGACCCTGCCTCATGGCCCAGTCTTAGACCCGGCCTCATGGCCCAGTCTTAGATCCGGCCTCATGACCCAGTCTTAGACCCGGCCTCATGGCCCAGTCTTAGACCCGGCCTCATGACCCAGTCTTAGACCTGGCCTCATGGCCCAGTCTTAGACCCGGCCTCATGACCCAGTCTTAGACCCGGCCTCATGACCCAGTCTTAGATCTGGCCTCATGACCCAGTCTTAGACCCGGCCTCATGGCCCAGTCTTAGACCCGACCTCATGACCCAGCCTTAGATCCGGCCTCATGGCCCAGTCTTAGACCCGGCCTCATGACCCACTCTTAGACCTGGACTCATGGCCCAGTCTTAGACCCGGCCTCATGGCCCAGTCTTAGACCCAGCCTCATGGCCCAGCCTTAGATCCGGCCTCATGACCCAGTCTTAGACCCGGCCTCATGACCCAGTCTTAGACCCGGCCTCATG